GCGACAAGTCATTGCATTGCAAAATTGCTCTCAAGGGGAGAGGATATCCAGCGGGGACACCTGCTGCGCCGAGACTTGGCACCCACTCAGCTAACGTGGCTGAGGGTTCAGGGGGGAATATCCCGGCTATCCTGGGTCTGAGGAGCATGTCCAACATGGGGGCTATCTTGATCCCGGATCGGGGGCGCGAGAAGATGGTCATCCCCGGCTGAGATGTACAGGCTCTTCCTTGGGAAAGGGCGCCAGAGTATTTGACTCGATGAAAACGCCTTCGGGGCATCTGGCGCTCATAGTCGACGAGTGCGGGGCCGCAGCTGAGGACAAAGGGTCGATGCTGTTTACTATTACGGCCAATCCTCACAGCGAGAATGCCCCGTTGCTCGTCAAGGAGGCGGCTGACACAGAACCAGCCGCGGGGCAACCTGCATCGAGCAGTGCGGGGACACCCGGCATGAGCGATGCCCACGCATACATGATGTCTCAGGATACCAAGGGCATCAGCTTCTCTCCATCAGCGAAGAGACGCTTGCTTTCACGATCCAGTCTTTGGTGAATAACACCTTGAAGACCTGGCATCACAGGAACACGTCCTCTGGGAGCGCCCCCGCACCGGCCGACCAGGACTTCGCCATGCGGAACTTGCAGGCAAACGTCTATCAGGCCATCTACGAGAAGGTCAGCAAGTGGACGCCGCCCGATGCGAAGGCAGGGGCACCTGCGGGAGGGGATGATGCCGCTGAAAAGTTTCATTTTTCACTTCGAGCAGCGGCTCAGCGGCGCAGCATGGCACGGGCATTTGGGCGCCCCCATCGTTTGAAAATGAGTGGTGGGGGCAGGCGCGCGCCGCGGCCGCTCGCGCTTGCTCCGACAGGCCGAGCACTGAGGCTCTGTCATCTAGCGCGGGGAAACCTGCATTATTTTCCCAGGCGCCGGCTGCGCGCGCCAGGGGCGCTGGCAAGCCCGGCTGCGCGGCTGCCACGGACAGCAGTGGACCCGGCTGCGTGGCCGCTGCAGCAAATGAACGCCCATCGCATCATTATCATTCTCGTGCACTTGTCATTGAGGACATGCGGACAGCTTGCGCTGAACTCCGAGCTCGCGGTTACATGTGCGAGACCGTATCGCACATACAGAGGTTATGCCATCTTCTGGTACACAGTATTTGGGTGCTGTACTTCCGGGGGATTATCAACTGCTACGGGCGGCAACGCCCGCTGACTGGCACGTGAGGTTGCCTGGGGGGCGGGCAGGGCCACATTGCCCGCGCATCCAAAAATTGATGACTAAGGCTCGGGCTCTACGTATGTCTATAGTACCTGTAGGACCACCAGGTTACCTCTGGAAACAAGGTCCAATACGAGATGTCATTGAAGGTCTAGACTTGCAGGACATGCGCATGCGATGTTGCCACGTCGGTTCGAAATACGACCGTTCAACGAAGTTGCCTTGCGGATCAGATCTGCAGGTGGCAACTACTCACACGGGCATCCTAAGCAACTAGTGGAGATGCACGTGCCAAACTGCAGGGGAACCTGCCCAACTTGCCGAGCGTGAATTGGACTGGCATGGCCAAGGTGCTCAGAAGGCAGAATGGCGCAACAAAACATTGACTATCATGACCGCGAGATTGATGGATCAAATTGTTTTGAACAGAACAAAGAGAAACCATGCGAGTCCTGTGCGCCTTAGCATTCACACACGAGTGGACAAAGGAGCTAGAACTTACGCTCAGTCTCCAAAGAACGGCCCTGAATGGGACCATGTCGCCAGACGGGCAACGATGAACCTGGGTGATAATATGAGCATGCAAGACAGATCCAGGACCAGCGTATGGGCACAGGGGGTGCGCAGGGGGTGGTCTCTCAGCTCGGCCGCTATCCACGACACTGGCGGAAAGCCTAGCAGGCGTGACACTTCTCGACACCACACGTGCGCAGGGGGTGGTCTGTCAGTCCGGCCGCTATCCACGACACTGGCGCAAAGCCTAGCAGGCGTGGCACTTTCTCGACACCACAGGGGATGCGCAGGGGGTGGTCTCTCAGTTCGGCCGCTATCCACGACACTGGCGCAAAGCCTAGCAGGCGTGGCACTTTCTCGACACACAGGGGGTGCGCAAAGGGGGTGGTCTCTCAGTTCGGCAGCTATCCACGACACTGGCGCAAAGCCTAGCAGGCGTGGCACTTTCTCGACACCACAGGGGGTGCGCAGGGGGTGGTCTCTCAGTTCGGCCGCTATCCACGACACTGGCGCAAAGCCTAGCAGGCGTGGCACTTTCTCGACACCACAGGGGGTGCGCAGGGGGTGGTCTCTCAGTCGGCCGCTATCCACGACACTGGCGCAAAGCCTAGCAGGCGTGGCACTTTCTCGACACCACAGGGGGTGCGCAGGGGGTGGTCTCTCAGTTCGGCCGCTATCCACGACACTGGCGCAAAGCCTAGCAGGCGTGCACTTTCTCGACACCACAGGGGGTGCGCAGGGGGTGGTCTCTCAGTCGGCCGCTATCCACGACACTGGCGCAAAGCCTAGCAGGCGTGGCACTTTCTCGACACCACAGGGGGTGCGCAGGGGGTGGTCTCTCAGCTCGGCCGCTATCCACGACACTGGCGCAAAGGCTAGCAGGCGTGGCACTTTCTCGACACCACAAGGGGGTGCGCAGGGGGTGGTCTCCCAGCTCGGCCGCTACCCACGACACTGGCGCAACCCTAGCAAGCGTGGCGTTTTCTCGACACCACAAGGGGGTGCGCAGGGGGTGGTCTCTCAGCTCGGTCGCTCAGAGGGCTCAGAACGCAGGATTGTGCATATATATATATATACATACACACATATACATATATACATATATATATATATATATATATATATATGAATACATATACATAAGCAAGCACATAATATTTAACTTAAGTATGTGGGGTTCCTCGGTAGCGTAATTTATGCCCGTTCGTTCCTCGAATGTGGACGCGCCATTCCCTCGCATGTCCTTTTCGCGACAGGGAAACACGAATATGGTCGACCAAATACCATTGCCGCCGCCGTCTCGTACAGCGCTTCGTGGCTCCACAAAAACCTCAACCGAAGGCCCCAATGGCACAGAGGCAAGGTTCGCCTGCGTCCCCCCCCCCCCGCCCAGTACTGCGTTTGGTGGTCCATACGGAACCCACAATTGCATATGGTTGGGTCCTTCCCCAAATCTAGTTCTTCAATTGAGGCACGACGACAATTTCAGTCCATGGTCATATCGGCGCGCTAAGCGGCGCGCGTGGGGGGGGGAAACAACGAGAGGCGGCAGGGTCGTATGCGGCGGGTTCCACTGGGGCCTTCGGTGGAGCTCCCTGCGGGGCCACGAAGCGCTGTGCTGGGTGGGGGGACACTCATGCGGGCGGTAGCACATGGGCCGTCGGTGGAGCTCCCTAGGGGGCCACGAAGCCTTGCATTGGGTGGTGGAAACGCATGCGGACGGTGCCACTGGCGCCGCTGGTTGAGCTCCCATATGGAGCCCAAAGACGGTGTATTGGATGGGGGGGACGCATGCGGGCGGTAGCACAGGGGCCGTCAGTGGAGCTCCCTGGGGGGGCACGAAGCGCTGTACTGGGTGAGGGGGACGCATGCGGGCGGTAACACTGGGGCCGTCGGTGGGGACTCCCTATGCGGTTCCGAAGAGCTGTATCGGGTGGGGAGGGGGGACGCCTGTGGGCGGTAGCGCTGGGGCCTTCGGTGGGGCTCCCCATGGGGGGGGGCACGAAGTGCTGTATTGGGTGAGAAGGACGCATGCGGGCGGTAGCTCTGGGGCCGTCGCTGGAGGTCCTTATGGAGCCACGAAGCGCTGTATTGATTGGGGGGACGCACGCGGGCGGCAGCAGCGGAGCCTTCGGTGGGGACTCCCGATGGAGCCACGAGACGGTGTACTGGGTGGGGGGGCGCATGCGGGCGGTAGCGCTGGGATGTACTGGGCGGGGGGGACGCATGCAGGCGGTAGCACTGGGGCCGTCGGTGGAGCTCCCTATTGAGCCACGAAGTGCTGTATCGGGTGGGGGGGCGCATGCAGGCGGTAGCACTTGGACTTTCGGTGGAGCTCCCCATGGGGCCACGAAGCGCTGTATTGGACGCATGCGGGCGGTTGCACTGGAGCCTTCGGTGGAATCCCCAATGGGGCCACGAAGCGCTGTACTGGGTGGGGGGGACGCATGCGGGTGGTAGCAGTTGGACCTTCGGGGGAGTTCCCTAAGGGGCCACGAAGCGCTGTACTAGGCGGGGGGGACGCATGCGGGCGGTAGCAGTGGGATCTTCGGTGGAGCTTCCTATGGGGCCACAAAGCGCTGTGCCGGGTGGGGGGGACACATGCGGGCGGTAGAATTTGGGCTATCGGTGGAGTTCCCTATGGGGCCACGAAACATGTGAGGGGCGTACCAAAGTGAGGGGGGGACGGGAAAAAGAAGGAGAGGGAGGAGGATGGAAGGATGGAGGGAACGCGGGGCGTTGTCTCTTCAAAACGTGGACCTAACACCACAGGATGGTTGAGAATTAACACGTCAAAAGCACCTTGATAGCAGCAAGTGTGAAAAAGGCGTGTCGAGGAATAGGAGGTCGGCTAGCGAGAGCGCGCCGGGACAGCAGTGAGAGCATGGACATGCGCATTTCAGCCTGCTTTCAAAAAGAATCGTGGCCGTCAGGGCGAGGATAGTTGCCAGCAAAAGAAAGATGCCTGAATCAGTTGTGGGGAAGTCTCAGGCGGAACGGTTTCTAGAAAAAACGACCTCGGGGGGCGGTCCAGGGTCCCCCGCCTCCCCCTGCGGGACTCGTGTGTGGTGTTTCGTACCATTGTTACAACCTTCCCGATCGAAACGCGATTGAGGACAAACCAATCCCAATGCTTATCCTCGTCCTCGTTGTCCTCCTCTCTTTCCTCCGCACTTTCTTCGTGCACCCTTTCGCGATCGTCGTAATTCGCCTCTTCATCTTCAGCAGTTTCACCTTTTCATACTCGTCCCCTTCCACCGCAGGTCACCAGTACCGGCACGTCGACCGATACTTCGACGGCCACAGCTACGAGCATCACGACGAGCACTACAACATGGACGACGTTATCAAGCACGACCAGCACGCGCACGTCCACTGCGTCGGCCACCAGCCTGACGGGCACAACCACAACCAGCAGCACGCAACACACTATCAGTAGCACGACCAGCAGTTCTGCGACCACAGAAAGTACGACGAGCAGCACCACCGGGTCAAGCACGAGTGGGACCAGCAGCATTTCTGTGTCCACATCGAGCGGCACGAGCAGCACAAGCGTGACCACCGTCAGCGGGACCAGCACCACAACGACCACAATCAGCGAGACCAGCAGCACGACACAGACCAGTCGTTCTGAGACCAGTAGTATGAGCACGGTGACCGAGACCAGCAGCGTGTCTGCAACCACAGAGAGCGCGACGAGCAGCACTACAGGATCAAGCACGAGTGGGACAAGCAGCATTTCAGTGACCACATTGAGTGCGACGAGCAGCACCACAGGGTCAAGCACGAGTGGGACCAGCAGCACTTCGGTCTCCACATCGAGTGTGACGAGCAGCACAAGCATGACCACCGTCAGCGGGACCAGCACCACAACGACCTCAATCAGCGAGACCAGCAGCACGACACAGACCAGTCGTTCTCAGACCAGTAGTGTGAGCACGGTGACCGAGACCAGCAGCGTGTCTGCAACCACAGAAAGTGCGACGAGCAGCACCACAGGGTCAAACACGAGTGGGACCAGCAGCATTTCCGTGTCCACATCGAGTGCGACGAGCAGCACAAGCGTGACCACCGTCAGCGGGACCAGCACCACGCCGACCTCAATCAGCGAGACCAGCAGCACGACACAGACCAGTCGTTCTCAGACCAGTAGTGTGAGCACGGTGACCGAGACCAGCAGCGTGTCTACAACCACGGTGACTGCGACGAGCAGCACCACAGGGTCAAACACGAGTGGGACCAGCAGCACTTCCGTGTCCACATCGAGTGCTACGAGCAGCACAAGCGTGACCACCGAGAGCGGGACCAGCACCACACCGACCACAATCAGCGAGACCAGCAGCACGACATTGACAAGTCGTTCTCAGACCAGTAGTGTGAGCACGGTGACCGAGACCAGCAGCGTGTCTGTTACCACAGAGAGCGCGACGAGCAGCACCACCGGGTCAAGCACGAGTGGGACCAGCAGCATTTCGGCCTCCACATCGAGTGCGACGAGCAGCACAAGCGTTACCACCATCAGCGGGACCAGTACCACAACGAACACAATCAGCGAGACCAGCAGCACGACAGAGTCAAGTCGTTCTCAAACCAGTACTGTGAGCACGGTAACCGAGACCAGCAGTATGTCTTCTACCACAAAGACTGCGACTAGCAGCACCACCGGGTCAAACACGAGTGGGACCAGCAGCACGTCTGTGTCCACATCGAGTGAGACGACCAGCACAAGCGTGACCACTGCTAGCGAGACCAGCACTACAGCGACCACAATCAGCGAGACCAGCAGCACGACATGGACAAGCTTTTCTGAGACCAGCAGTGTGAGCACGGTGACCGAGACCAGCAGCGTGTCTGCAACCACAGAAAGTGCGACGAGCAGCACCACAGGGTCAAACACGAGTGGGACCAGCAGCACCTCTTTGTCCACATCGAGTGCGACGAGCAGCACAAGCGTGACCACCATCAGCTGGACCAGCACCACAACGACCACAATCAGCGAGACCAGCAGCACGACACAGACCAGTCGTTCTCAGACCAGTAGTGTGAGCACGGTGACCGAGACCAGCAGCGTGTCTGCAACCACGGTGAGCGCGACGAGCAGCACCACCGGGTCAAGCACGAGTGGGACCAGCAGCACTTCGGTGTCCACATCGAGTGCGACGAGCAGCACAAGCATGACCACCATCAGCTGGACCAGCACCACAACGACCACAATCAGCGAGACCAGCAGCACGACACAGACCAGTCGTTCTCAGACCAGTAGTGTGAGCACGGTGACTGAGACCAGCAGCGTGTCTGCAACCACAGAGAGTGCGACGAGCAGCACCACAGGGTCAAGCACGAGTGGGACCAGCAGCACTTCGGTGTCCACATCGAGTGCGACGAGCAGCACAAGCGTGACCACCGTTAGCGGGACCAGCACCACAACGACCACACTCAGCGAGACTAGCAGCACGACACAGACCAGTCGTTCTCAGACCAGTAGTGTGAGCACGGTTACCGAGTCCAGCAGCGTGTCTACAACCACGGTGAGCGCGACGAGCAGCACCACCGGATCAAGCACGAGTGGGACCAGCAGCATTTCTGTGTCCACATCGAGTGCGACGAGCAGCACAAGCGTGACAACCATCAGCGGGACCAGCACCACAACGACCACAATCAGCGAGACCAGCAGCACGTCACAGACCAGTCGTTCCCAGACCAGCAGTGTGAGCACGGTGACCGAGACCAGCAGCGTGTCTGCAACCACAAAGACTGCGACGAGCACTACCACCAGGTCAAGCACGAGTCGGACCACCAGCATTTCTGTGTCCACATCGAGTGCGACGAGCAGTACGAGCGTGACCACCGCCAGCGGGACCAGCACCACAACGACCACAATCAGCGAGACCAGCAGCACGTCACAGACCAGTCGTTCCCAGACCAGCAGTGTGAGCACGGTGACCGAGACCAGCAGCGTGTCTGCAACCACAGACAGTGCGACGAGCAGCACCACCAGGTCAAGCACGAGTGGGACCAGCAGCATTTCTGTGTCCACATCGAGTGTGACGAGCAGCACAAGCATGACCACCGTCAGCGGGACCAGCACCACACCAACCACAATCAGCGAGACCAGCAGCACGACACAGACCAGTCGTTCTCGGACCAGTAGTGTGAGCACGGTCACCGAGACCAGCAGCGTGTCTGCAACCACAGAGAGTGCGACTAGCCGTTCAAGCGTGACGACTGTCAGCAGCACAAGCGTGACTAGCAGCACGACCAGCAGCTCCGCGACTACAGAAAGTGAGACGAGTAGCACCACGTCGTCAAGCACGAGTGGGACCAGCAGCATTTCTGTGTCCACGTCGAGCGGGACGAGCAGCACAAGCGTGACCACGGCCAGCGAGAGCAGCAGCATGACACAAACTAGCATTTCTTGGACGAGTACCGCGAGCACCCTCTCAGTCAGCCAGACCAGCAGCATGACAAGGACAAGCTGGTCTCAGACCAGTAGTGTGAGCACGGTAACTGGGACCACAAGCACGTCTGCAACCACATCGAGTAAGACGAGCAGCACAAGCGTGAGTACTGTGACCATGACCAGCACCGCCTCTTCGACAACAGTGACCGTGACAAGCAGCGCAACGATATCAACTGTCAGCGAGACCAGTAGCGCTTCGGCAACCACAATTAGCGAGACAATCAGCACAAGCATCACTACTGGGAGCGTGACAAGCAGTGATACATGGACCAGCACTTCCCGTACGAGCAGTGTTAGCACTATCCAAATGTTTGCAGCAAACTCCACCACCGTGCCAGCTCAGCAGGAATGAGGTGTACGCCAAGACGCACTCCATCTCAACGCCTTGTCTAAACAGGAGCGGGTCTCGAACATCCTGCACCACCTCTCTTTGTGCTTGTGCGTAGCCCAATTCTCCTCTCCATTCCTCATTCCTCCCTCATCCTCCTCTTCCATCTCCCTCCTCCCTCGTGACAGCATCTTGGAAGATTCTTGGAAGTTTCTCTGGGGCCTCTTTAGGGCCTCGTGGGACTCTCTCGGGGGGCCTTTGGAGGGTCTGTTAGGTGCCGCCTTGGGGCCATGGTTCTACCTAGCACCCTCGAGGAGGCTCAGTTGGGCCATCTTGAGACTATCTGAGCAGGTCTTGGGCCTTCGTGGGCCGTCTACCAGGCAACACTTGGCATTATACCACGCCTCAGCGTGCTAGGAGGGGCACGGTGGCGGACACATAGTGGCACGAGTAGCACTTCGATGACAAGCACTTCCATCACTAGCACTGCAACCCACACGAGCAGTATTTCTGCAACCACGGCAAGCGAGACGAGCGACACAAGAACAAGCAGCACGAGTACGACAACGGAAAGCGCCACAAGCAGTGCCACGATGACAAGTTCTTCCCAGACGAGTAGCGTGAGCACTTTTTCCCACACGAGCAGTTCCTCGATGACGAGCACTTCCCGGTCGAGCAGCACGAGTATGACTTCAGAGAGTGACACCAGCAGCACCACGTTGACAAGCTCTTCCCAAACGAGTAGCGTGAGCAGTGTCACTCATACGAGCACTGTTTCTAGAACTACTGCAAGCGAGACGAGCGGCACGAGTGCGACCACATTCAGCGAGACCAGCAGCACGACGTTGACAAGTAGCTCCGAGACGAGTAGTGTAAGCACAGCAACAGGGTCAAGCAGCTCTTCTGCAACCACTTCAAGCCGAACCAGCAGCACAAGCATTAGTTCAGAGAGTGGTACAAGCAGCACCACGTTGACAAGTTCTTCGCAGACGAGTAGCGTGAGCACTGGAACTCGGACGAGCAGCTCTTCGATGACGACTACTTCCCAGTCGAGCAGTGCGAGTATAACTACACAGAGTGGGACAAGCAGCACCACTCGGACAGCTACCACATCCACAACTGAGACGAGTGGCACACGCAGCGCCACAGAGTCGACTGCAACTGAGACTAGAAGCGTCTCCGGCACAGCCACGAGTGAAACCAGTAGCACCACGGCGTCAAGCCGTAGCGGTACGAGCAGTTCTTCTGGTACCAGGGCGAGCTCATTGAGCAGCACCAGCGAGACCACAGGACGCGTGAGCAGTATAAGCACGATGATTGGGACTACCACAAGCGCGTCAAGCACAGGTACTGCTAGGAGCGTGACCAGGACAGTATTTGTGGGAAGCGTAGACGGCCTAGCTGATGGCGACGGAAGTGGGGGCGACGCAGGGAACAGTGATAGGGCAGCCGGCCGGGCCAGGGGAGGAGGAGGAGGAGGAGGAGGAGGAGGAGCAGCAGCTAGAGGGAGAAGGGAAAGGGTCTTAAGAGTGGCGTTTACCAAAATAAGCCGTTGTTGAAGGATGATCGTGCTGGCGGTTGTGCGGGAGATTGGCGACGAACATTGTTGCCATTGGGCATTGGGAGCATTCATGCGCAGGATGCTAGTAGCATTCCCTCAGCGACAGGCTTCCTGAGAACACTAGATGGGATTATGTCCTTCGCCAGCGTGTTTACCTGAGACTGCTTCTGCTCCAAATCGCTCCATCGTTGAGGAATCGCTTCGTTGTGCGACACTCCTTCCGCTTCATCACCACAATCAGCATCACCACAACCACGAGCAGCAGCGTCATCAACATGATGACTATCATCACCATAACTATCATCACCAACATCATACTCAACCGCAGTATCATCACCACTACCACCATCACCATCGTCATCATCATCATCATCATCATCATCATCATCATCATCATCATCATCATCATCATCATCATCATCATCATCATCATCATCATCATCATCTTCATCATCATCATCATCATCATCGTCGTCGTCGTCGTCGTCATCATCATCATCATTATCATCATCATCATCATTATCATCATTATCATCATTATCATCATCATCATCATCATCATCATCATCAGCATCATCATCATCATCATCCGTAGCCAGTTTGGCTCAAGCCACCATGCCAGCTTCCCTCGGGCGGCGGGCGCAGCCTAGGATGGCGCGGGCAGTGGCCCCTCCCGGGGTGGTCACTGATGAGCTTGGCGGCGGCTCCAGCGCGGAGCGGAGCGGAGGCGCCGACGCCAGGACAGTCGGCGATAGGCGCGGTGGTCGGCCGACGCCCTCATCCGGGAGTTGCAGCGCGAGGTCAAGTTCTGGCGCGGCCGCCACGGGCGGCTGCTGGAGGCGTTGGGCAGCGGCGAGGTGGCCGAGTGCCTAGAGGTCGCGGCAGTGCACCTACACGCCATGCTGCAGGGCGCCAGGCTGGCACCAGTCGCCGTGCTGCGGCAGAACGTGGCGCTTCACGCCAAGGGCGCCCCTCTGCCGTTGGGGACGGCGGCGCCATGGCGGCTGCGCAAGGCCCAGAAAAGGGGCCACGGCTGGCGGCGGCCGCGCGCAGCGAAACGCCCACCACACTGCCAGCGGTGCCCCACTTCCCCGCGGTCGGCGCCGAGGCCCAGGCAGGGATTCGGGGCGCATTCGAGGGGCGACGATGGCGTGGAGCACAATAACGAGCACGACTAGGAGCAGGACGTGGGGCAGTACGACAAGGACGTGTTCAGCGTCGACGGCACTGGCCCGCCAGACCTTGCGAGCGACACCGACGAGCACAAGGAGAACGAGAGCGTGGACGAGTTGACCGCGGCGGCGGGGGCGGCGTGCAGCGACGCCGCATCCGCAAAGCCGCCTCCCCGATCCACATGCGTAGAGGACTGCTGGGGGCGCCTGGAGGCCGTGCGAGAAGACCTCACGGCCATCATGGAGGGCGACTTCGCCAACCAGCAGGGCATGATTTTGACGTGTATCGAGCGGCTAGAGAGCATGCTCAGGGAGAACCAGACGATATTGGGCGACGTGGACAACGGCTTCATCGCAGAGCAGGCCGGGCTGGAGCGCCACGGGATTCAGGACGTGATTTATTTCGTGTGGCGGCAGTGCGTCCTGGCGGAGGGCCGAGGCATTAGCAGCAGGCGCTGCGGATGAGTGGGCATTGGGCCTGGCAGCGCGCCGTGGGCTCGTCTGTTCAGCGCTTCCCTGGGCCGCCGCGCGGCGCGCGCCACGCCCCCTTGTCCATGCCCCTTGCATGTGTGGCACTGTTCATGTCACGGCCCGAGGTGTGGGAGCAATTGTTTGCGTCCTCGCAGTGTGCATCACTTTGACGGGGGGCGCGGATTTAAGGCGCGCCAGTAATGCAGCAGGCGGTGAGCGTTCGCGATAGGCGACAGATCACCTTCGGAGAGCGCGGCCATCATCGTCATCAGCATCATCATCAGCATCACCACCATCAACATCAGCATCATCATCACCATCACCACCATCATATAACTAAATGGTTGCTGTGTGTTTTGGTCGTTGTAATGTTGCGTGCCGCAGTCACTGCGGCTTAAGTCTTGCTGATGTGCGGCTTCCACGCAAGATTTCGCCCTCTCACTCTCCGAGGCCCTGCGATGCGGGACTCAGGCCGTGGGGGCCTCCGTGGCGGCGCGCGCGGCCGCGCCGAGCTGCGGGCCCTGCGCGCTCAGCTGTCCTGCCCCGCGATCCCCTCCTGTGTCTGCGCGAGGGCGGGTGGGCAGGTGTTCGAGCATGCGTGTTAGGGGCTCGCGTTGGCCAACTCGACGGGCGCGCCGTTCGTTGGACTGGCCGCTGGCGGTCCTGGCGGGGCGCCGCTGGCTCGCCGGGCGGAAGGTAGCCGCGTCGCGGGGGGGCCCGCGGGGGGCATCGCGGGGGCGGCCCGCGCCCAGGCTCAGGCAGCCCGAGATCGCAGGGCCACCTGCTCGCGAAGAGGATGGCGCATCAGCTTCATTGGACTCCCGTCCGATGTCGCGTTCCTGGAGCTCACGCACGGCACGAGAGGCCCACCGCGATGCGCGGGCGTGGGAGGTCTGTCGACGTCATCACCCCAGACGGAGATCGGCGCGAAGAGGGCGGAGCTCCCGAGGCTGACATCGCGGGAATCATCGCGATTGCTGGCCGGGGAGAGCGACCGCTTGGGATTCGCGTGCTCGGGTTCCGCGCGCTACCGAGCGACGCCGACGTGTGGGCTGCCATCTCGGAGGCGGCGGCTCTGTTCGGGCTGCTCGCCCAGCTGGGCCTGCCGTCGCGCCGCTCGCGGCGTGCAGCGCCGGCGGCGGGCCCGCTGGCGACCGCGCGATGATCGGCCCCATTCCCCAGCCTGTAGGCGCCTCGGGCGGCCCAGGCTGGCCCCGAGTCGCTGCTCCAGCAGGCGCGCCGGCAGTCGCGGGGGCGGCAGACGCAGCGGTGGCGGCGCCAGTGGGAGGCATCGCGATGGCTGGCCTGGTGGCGGCCGTGGCGGGCGCAGGCATGGCGCCTGCCGCCGCGCCCAGGGCCCCGGCGCCGCCCGCCCCGCCCGCCGGGGGCGGGGCCGCCGCCGCGGCCGCGCCGTTGGCAGCAGGGACGGCGGCCGCGGCGCCAGGTGCGGCAGCGGCTGGAGGCGGCCTCGCTGCGCCAGCAGCCGCCCCCACGCGGCGCTCGCACCAGCGGCTGACTTGCGAGTCAACCCTGCGTGCGTCGACGTCCGCGGCGACCGCCACGGGGACTTCCGAGACGGCACGATGCTCCATTCTTGGCGCGACTGGCCTGCGAGAGGCCCGAGGGCGGCCGCCTGGGCGCGCGCTTGCATCCAGCGTCAGGCGGCGTCGCCGACCGCCTGGCATATCAAGTGGACGGCCGAGCGGCGGATGGCCGAGGACGGCCCGCGCGCGCGCGAGCACGCGCTCCTCTGCCGCATCTTAGATCTGGCAGCATGCTACGACCATGTCAGCGCGAGGGAGCTCGCGCACCTGAAGATGTCTGCGAGGCGCCTCAAACTCTCGGAGGGGAAGTTGATCGAGCTGACCTTCAGACCCAAGGGCGATGGCAAGGGGGCGAAGGATAAAGACCCATCTGCTGGACCATCGCGTCGAGAACAACTTGTTCATTGGCGCTCAGGAGAGCCGAGGGAACGCGCGCGCCCCATGCTCAGCACATGGATCGCGGACGAGTTGAAAGCCGAGGCCGCGGTGGCTATAACGAGCGCAGAGAGGCCCGCGAGGAGCGGGCGCTGCGCCAATCACCCACGGCGCTTCCGATCCCAGCGGCTGGCCCCTCATCTGAGGCCGGTGGGGTGGCCGGGCTCGGAGCCGCGCGGCTTCGCGATGGTGTTCGACCCTGGCGGGCGCCAGCGCAACCTCTTTCCTCTCCCTCGCCTCGCGGTCGATGGGCGCCGGCAGCTCCGCGGCCCGCGACGTGCCCGTCAGCGACGCGATCGAAGCGCTGATTGGCGCCACCGGACCAACGAGCGCATAGACAGCCTCGGCGACCTCAACGGCCAGCGCGGCTGCAGGGGTGAAGTCGCGGCGCCCGCGGGCGCGGCCAACCTTCCTCAGAGACCGGCGATGGAGCGGGTCGCTGGCCAGTTAATTTCGTTTTCGCGGCCTGCAGATGCGCCCATCAGCAAGGCCACCTCGGATGCCGCCCGCGAAGCGCTGCTCCGACACGCGCCTGGACATTGTGAAGACGATACCACGGCTAGACCCTATGCCAAGGACCTCGCGTCTTGGCTCGCTGCTGGAACGACCCCATGCACCGCTGGTCAATATTTGTGGCACGGCCGCATTACACCGGCCAGAGTCATTGCGGACGAGCATGCTTTCTCCGAGTCTGTGGCAGACGGCAGGCGCAAAAGTGTCTGGTCTTGTCAAGCCTCACGTCGATCCTCCACTCGTGAGCCGCCCCGTCCGACGCGCCGACTTTCTTCGTGGGCCGCGCGCGGCCGGGGTGCTCGGGCCCCGACCCCGACGGCACTGGGGGCCTTCAGTGGAGGCGTTCTTCGTGACCAAGAAGGATAGGAACCTGAGGGTGGCGCTCGACACGCGCAATGCACATGTTTCATTCGTGGAACCCACAGGCATCGATTTACCGACGGGTGCTTCATGCGCGGGCCTAGAGATCAGCCCCGACATCCATGTCTACATGGCTTAGGCGGACATCCAGTGCGCCTGCTACCACATTCAGCGACCTTCGGATATCGCTCGCGCGTTCACTCTGCCATGCATCACGAATCGGGCGATGCGCTTGGATGGCATGGGGGTGGACATTGTCATTGTCGTTGGCGCCTGCGAGGTGGGACTGGGCTTTGCACCTCTGCCGGGGCGCCCTGGCCAATAGCATGGTGCTGGATGCGGCGGTTCAAGAGAGCCGCTTCATCGTTGACGGGGCGCCGTCGGCATTTCTGCAGCGCTCAGACGAACGGTTGGCGGGCGCCCACGTCGACAGCATCAGCGCGATGACTGGCTCGCGGGAGCTCGCCGACCGCAAGCTGCAGGTGGTCGCGGAGGCCGTCTCTCGCCACCGCCTACCCGTGCATGAGGTTCAGGCGGCGGGGGTGCCCATGATCTTCCCGGGCCTAGAGTTCGATTGGTTACAGGGCACCGTGAGTCTGCCCTTCGCTCGCGCGGCTCGGCCGCGCTTTGAAAGTCGCAATGTGCTGCGTCATCGAAGGATTTTTCCGCGAGCCCTCTCTAATTTGACGGGGCACATCACGTGGGCCACGTTGGGCAGGAGAGAGACCTCATCGACGATGTCGGCCACGTTCACCTTCGCCCGAGGTCGAGCACTTGAGCCGATGGAGATCTGGGACAGGGCCTTCAGGGAGCTCCAGTCGGTTCAAACCACCCTGCCTCTTTGGGCCGCGTCTTTGCGCTTGCCCTGGGCCCTTGAGGTGACCGTTTCGGAGTCGTCCGGGTACGGCATGGGGGTGTGCCGTCGCAAGTTTCTTGTCTCCGTCGGCGCGTGCATTGGGCGTCTCGCTGAGAAGGTCAGGCGCAGGCTCAACGATGCCATCGCTGCTCGCCAACACGCCCTGGGTGTTCAAGAGGGCCCTGGTGAGTCTCTGGACCTGCGGGACATCGATTGCCTTGGCAGCTCCTTGAACGATCTGACTGGACCCCCCTGGCTTCACCGAGATTCCCAAGGAGACCCTTTAAGGAACCCGACGGGAAGATGGCCCACTCTGGGTGCGCATGCAGCGTGAGAACATCCTTGCATCCGAGGGGGCGCCCTGGAGTTCGCCCTCCGTCACCTCCTGCGCCCAGGGTCCCTGCAGGGGCACCGCGTCCTCCTCTTCGTGGACAATGTGGCTCTAACTCTTAGCGCGGGCAAAGGCCGCGGCCGCGCGGCCAACATGACCAGGCCCTTGCGACGAATCATCTTTCTGTTGCTCGCCACTGGCTGCAGGGTCTACGTGCGCTGGGTACCCCCAGAGCTCAACCCGTCGGCCCCGTCGAGGTCTGGCTTCTTCGTGGGCCCGAAGTGGGTTGTCGAGCTCCCGCGGAGTGGCAGCACCACGGGTTTGTTGACGGCCGAGTCGTCCGACTCGCGCCGCGATGCTGGCATGTCAGAGGTTGGCCTTGCAGGCGTCGGTGACGGCCCTGGGGCGCGGGCAGTTGGGCTTCCTGGAGGTGGCGGCTCTCGCTTTCGCAGCAGCCCGTCACGATCTGGTTCACGCGCGGCGGCTCGTCGCCTGTTGCCGCTGGATGGGCCTGGGGTGGTCGACGACCCAGGTGCTCGTCGTGATCTTGACGGCCTTCCTGGCGCCCCTGGCGCCGCGGTGGCAGCGGAGCGACACTTGCTGCCCGCTCCGGGGCCCGCGCGCGGCTCGCCGCCGAGGGCGCGCAAGGCCTTCCGCCTGCCAGGCGACTCGCGGCCCCCAACACGCCGGCGGGGGGCCGCGCGGCGAGCGGGGTCATATGCTCAACCCAGGCGAGGACGGGCGCCCACGCAAGGCGAGCCTCTCCGACGAGAGCGCGGCGTTGGACCAGGCTGCGCGGTGGCCGCTGAGGGCGGCGCTGAAGCTTGTCCGCCCTGGCGGCGCGGTGCTGCGGGACTTCGACGCGCCCGAGGTCCGCGACGCCTTCGGCCAGGCGGCCGTGCACCTGGGGCTGGAGCCGCAGCCGTCGCTGCACCTTCTGCGCCACCGCGCGGCGAGCGACGACCTGCTTGCGGCGCGGCGGGCCTTGGCAGAGGTGGAGAACTGTCCGAGAAGGGTCACCGATTGTTCCCTACGGCGGCATGCGAAGAGGTCCAAGCTGCAACAGGACACCCACCGTCTGAACTCGACATGATGGCGCCCGGCCAGCTGGTGGACGCGAGCCTTGCCCATCTGATCGAGGCGGCGTCCCTGGGCAGGGCGCTCTTGTGGCCAGTGCCACCGAGGGTGGCCGCCCCGTCTCGTGGCCAGATGAAGCCATCTCTGACCGCCAGGTGGACGGCTATATGACGCGCCAACTTTACGTTGGGTTCGCTGCTGCTCGTTTGCGACCCCGCTCGGCTTTCATTGGCCTTGGCGCGGCCTCTTGGCCGATCGTTCGCAGCCCGCGGTCACTCGGCTACGCGGCGACATGTTTTGACCCTAGCAAGCATCAAGGATTGGACTGGTCTTGACTCGCGGTGAGCCAGAAGATCCTGGCGTGGCGTCGGGGGTCCATGGTCCTGGGGGCGCGGGCCGCTCCTGCCTCGGGGCCCGGGGCCCCCTCTCCGCGCTCTTGGGGCTTCTTGGGGGCGCTTGCCACCATGATCCTCGAGTACCGTCGCCTAAGGGTCCCCATCTGAGTTGAATATCCTTTCAGCTCTGGTCGGTCGGCCCTCGCTTCCTTCAGACGTGCGCGTTTGCTCGCCACTCACATTGTAACATGATTTGGTTTGCCAGCGCGGCGGCTTGCACCCTCGACGCGCTAGTGCTTGGATCTGGGCCGCCCGGCTGCCGACCATCAGCGTTCAGCCTCAGTGCACGGGTCACAATGAGAGATGCTTTGGCCGCGGCTTTTTCCACGTCAACACCTCTGCATTTGACGAGCGGCAAACCGTGGGCCCTCAGTGTGAATATTTTTTCCGTCAGCTGGTCCAATGGGGATCTGACTGGCTTGTCAGAAGTGCCGCGAGTTTGCTAGACGCGAGGATGGATAGACGGCTCTTTAGGCAATTGTTGATTCATGTTGTCGGCCGTCGGCCAGGGGTTGCAAGTATGCCTAGTACATGTCTCTCGAGGTGTGCTGCTGCACTGTTAGCCTCGTGGCGCCCCGTCTGTTGGTGAGACTTTCGCCTTCGGCCCAATTCAGCAAATGCACCCTCTGGTCTGCAGAATGGAAGAATCTCATATACCTGCTTTCTGAGTGTTGTGATCGTTGTAACGTTGCGTGCCGCAACCACTGTGGTTCAAGCCTCCCTCCCTCACCCACCTTTTTTGTTGTTCTCTCGAGGTCGGCTGCTGCACTGTCAGCATCGTGGCGCTCCGTATGCTGGCGAGACGGTCGCCCTCGGCCCCAGTCAGCAAATTCACTTCCTGGTCCACAGCAGGGAAATCATCCCAATCATCGTCATCATCACCATCACGTTTTTCCTCGTCATCCTCGCTCCTCTCCGTTATCAGACCCACCTCTTTTTCTTTGCATGTTCCCCACGAAAACGAGCAGGTCGGAGTCGAAAAGAAAGGCAGGGGAAGGAAGGTGGGTATGACGGCAGGAGAGATGTGAAAGGGAAGGGGAGGACGAGGTGGGGGACGGAAGGGGAGGTGGCAACGGAGGAAGGGAGAAGGAGGAGCAGGAAAAGGAAGGAAGGAAGGGGAGGAGGGAGGGGCAGGAGGGGAGGAAGAGGATTGCGAAAATAAGGGGGGTGGGAAGGAGCCTAGAAGCCTGAATGATATTGAGGACGCCCCACATCTAGTTTCAAGCTGATGCCAACTCGTGGACGCCAACCCATAGGTTCTAGTAACGCCCCCAATTTGCAAGCAATGTGGCGCAAGCTACAGGGCACCGACCATGATGCACCACCGGGCGCCTACCGTAAGGCACCAGAGGGCAACAATCCTAGGGCACCGATCGCGAACGGCCGACCGCAGCGACCATGGTCCCATCGGGCGAAAAACAGGCCGCAGCGACCAGAGCACCGTAGGGCACCAACCACAGGGCCAGGGCACCGTAGGCCAGAGCACCGACCATACGGCACCGAACGCGAACAGCTGATCGCGCGCCCGGGGCACTACAGGGCACCAGCGCATGGGGCAAAGGGCGCCACCCACAGATCACCAGCACGCCAACGGCCGACCGCGGCAGAGGACCAGCTCTTCAGAACCCCAGTGGGAATCCCGAAGTGCAAGCACTCATGAGGGAATATGTCAGCCACGCGCAGATGGGGGGGGGAAGCGGGGAGGGCTTTTGAGGAACACCTTGCTTCTCAGAAGGCGCGGGCCTTACCTATAGATGTAAGGCCAGCTCCTTGTACGAAGCAACCTCTTTCTGAGAAGTCTCCCCCCCTCCGTCCACCCCCTTGTGCGCGCCGCCAAGTATGTGAGACCCTCTGTGCCTATCCCTCCTTGTTCTCCTTCCTCTTGCTCCTGGAGGCCACGGGGGGGCAGGGCGGCGCGGCCGGCAGGGCGGGCGACAGCGAGGTGTCGGCCGTGGTCCACGGCAGGTTGGGGATCCAGGCGGCCCCGCCCAGCCACGCCCGCTTGCCGCGCTTTGGGGCAGCACTGGCAGGGCAAAAACGGCAGCCACGTTGCCCACTCTCCCTCCTCGTCCTCCTCGTCTTTGCCCCGGGGCCTTGCCGAGGCTAAGCCACATTGCTCTGACAGCGCAGCGGCTAGGGCAGTCGCGGTGGCAGCGAAAAGCATTGTGATTTCGAGTCGGTCTGGCTGGTGGCTACTGCTTTTTGTCCACTACCTATTGGTTTGCCTGCGCGGTCATTTTGAGCAGACCTATTGAGTCAAGCGCACTTCCTCAAAAGATTCGGGGACAAACGCATCACAAAAGCATGGAACAGCCAGAATGTTTGTTGCCTCTGGGGGTCTCTTGGGGTCTTGCTGTGAGTTTGGTGGAGAGTATTTGGGCAAGGTTGGGGCCGCTATGGACCATCAAGGATAGATTTGAGGCCGTCTTTGAGAAGCCTTGGGCAGCATTGGCTCCCTCTTGAGGCAGTTTGAGTTTGTCTTGGTGGCGCATTACGTGTTCGGGCGGTCTCGCCCGCGCGAGAAGGTTTCCCGCCACGCCGGAACTGCCCGCTGACGCAAGACGTTCAGATTGGTTCCCCAGGGCGGTCTCGCATTCAGCTGGATGTTCGCACTGACACCCAAAATATCGACGCGGAGGGTCTACGATGCCATGCTCCCGCTTGGCTGGCGATGTTGCAGTAGTTCTAGGCTTTACTTCCGCGTTATAGTAGCCTAGCCTAACTTCGGACGACGTTACGCAGCTTCAGTTCAGCGCAGCTGCGGCATACTCATCGCATGTCTGAGCGACTCGACTCCCTTTTCTGATTCCTTCATCCTCGGCCTCTCTACTCCTCTCCCTCCTCTCCTCCATCGCCTCCTCACTCTCCGCCTTCCCCTCCCTCCTCGTTCCTGAGCGAGCCGGACCCTCACCCGGAGCCAGATTATTGAATCGCTTCGCTCATTCCGCCGGCCCATACGGTCTCATGTCTGCCGTTTGCCCGAGGGCCTGGTGTCAATGCGGCGCTTTGGGGGTTCCTGGGGCCGCTTGGGGGACTCCTGGGGCGCTCGGGGGGGCATTTGGGGGGCCTCCTGGGGCCGCTTGGGGGACTCTTGGGGGCCTCCTGAGGGCCTCGTGGGGGCCTCTTGGGGCCTCTTAGGGGCCTCTTGGGGCCTCGTAGGGGCTTCTTAGGGCCGAGGGCGCGAAATTTTGTTTCGTGTTCCCTCTCTGGGGCCCCTTTGGGGGTGTTCTTGGGGCCCTCTTGGACCGTCTTGGAGGCTTCTTGGGCCGTCTTCGAGCCCTCTTGGGCCATCTTGGGGCCCTCTTGGGGGCCTCTTGGGCCCTCTTGGGGCGATCTTGGGGGCCTCTGGGGCCGTCTTGGGGCGTCGGGAACCGAAAAGGTGGAAGCTCCAAAATCTCTCAAAAACCTAAGGAAAAACAATGAATTTTGCCTCCGGGGGCCCTCTTGGGAGTGCTCTGGGAGGCCTCTTGGGGCGTCTGGGGGCTATCTTGGGCGTCTTGGAGCGATCTTGTGGCATGTCGGACCCCTCGTGTACCATCTTGGGGGCCTCTTGGGGGCCTCTTGGCCTTTCTTGGGGCTCTCGGGGACGTCTCGGAGCCCTGTTGGTGCGCTCATGGAGCGCTCCTGGAGCGCTCTGGGGGACTCCTCCCGGGACTCTCTCAGGACCTTGCCGGGGTACTTTTCGTCCGGGGACCCCCAGGGGCCGCCCCGCGCGCGCGAACTCGAGAATTCTTAACCAGTTACCGGAGATCTTAGCACGCCTCTGGCCCGTTGGGCCGGCGAATTGGGTCGGTTATGAGGCCATGGACACAGATTGTGGGGCCGATGGAGCAAGACACGGGCATGGTGTAGGCCCCAAGTGTCGAAGAACCAACAGACAGAATAGCCTTCAACAGATTTCCCCCCTAAGAGCCCCGAACAACTATCTGGAGGGATCCCCCCAAACATGTCCCTCCTATTCCACCTCATCCACCTCCTCTACTCGACCCCTGGACCTGTCTTGAAGCGCTTTCTGTTCAGCATTTCGACGCCAAGCCGGTAGCGGCGACGAGCCTGCCCCACCCCCAGGAGGCCCAAGGGCGGCAGAAGAAACGCACAGATACCCCCTCTCCCCCGACCTTATCCTCCTCCAGCCACACGGCCCCCTGCCAGGCGGGCGACCCCGCGTCCTTCGCGGGCGACCCCCTGGCCGCCGCCGCAGTCCAGCGCTCGCTGGCAGCCTTCTGCGGGGTGCCCACCGCGAGCGTGGCTGTGAGGCTCGAGGAGCTCGAGGCCGTGCTGCCCCTCTCTTGCACGGGGCGCCTGGCGCCCAGCTCACTCTCCGCGCCTGCCCCCTGCCGCGAAGCAGCTGCTGTTGATGGTGCTTCGAACGTACCCCCTGGGGGGTATTACCTTCCTTACCTGCCACGCGTATTTGGTGCAGACCCTAAAACAAGGGAAGAGAGGACGGGTGGTAGAGGGGAGGGGGAGGGAGAAGAATGGAGCACGAGATAAATTAGCAGGAGGAGGACAAGGAGCAGAAAACAAGTGGTAGAACCAAATGGGCAGATCGGGTGGGCAGACCCATAGCGGGCAGGTCGGAAAGGCGGGCCCGGGCGACGAAATGCAGGCGAATTGCTGAAGCGTGGGTCCTGCATGAATCGCGAGGAAGTCTCGAGCGATAGCGCGATTTCCAAGTAAATCGTGAGAACAGCTAGCGTGGGCCACGAAGAGCATGACATCCGAGGCCACAGAGGGCAGCGACGGGGCCGCTGATGGCAGCACCAGGGCCACGAAGGGCAGCGAAGGGGCCACAAACGGCGACAGCGGGGCCACGAAGGGCATGAATATGGGGCCACGACGGGCGCGAGCGAGCGGGGGCCACGAAGGGCATTCGTATACGGGGCCCCTTCGGATGCCTCGGGGCCGTTTTTGGGGCCTCTTGGGCCGCTTTGGGGCCGTCCGCCTAGAAAACTGATGAACCCACAGTTGGTTGTTTGTAGAATATACATTAGTTCGTAGCTCTATATACCACGCAGAAACGTACTTCTCGTAGGCTCGACGATAATTTCAGAGTCGAGGCAAATGACTTCTGAATTCTGTAGACGATCTCTTTCTCTAAGCGTTGGTATGCATGGCCTTGCAGAGACGAGGCCATAGAGTGCGGGGGTTAAGCGAACTTTTGGAACCCGTTTTCCCGACAGCGCGGGACGCGTCCGAGAGGTAAGCCTAGCGACCTTGCACGCGACTCGCCCGTGCGGACCATGACAACCATGCGGGAGGCCGACAAGTTGGGGAGGGCATCGGTGGGGTGTGCTGGCCACCCTCTGCTTCTCTCGCACCCTCTGCCACCACCGCGCAGGGGGGGCACCCCCGGGCGTTGGGGATGCGGTCCTCGTCCTCGCCTTCAGGGGTCTCCCCCCGCCTCTGCGCAGGGGCGGGGGGCCTGCGGTCCTCCCTCCAGGCGCCCCTGCTGCGGCGACGCCTCTCGCTGACCAGCGGCAGCGTGCGGGCCACGTACTCGGTGGCTGGTGGGCTCGAGGAGGTGCGGGCGGCCGCGGTCGCGCTCGAGAGTGCGACGGCCACCGAGGCGGGGGAGGGCGCACGCCGCGTGGAGTTGTCCTCCCTCTCTCCCTCATTCGTCCCATCCCAGCCCTTTCCCGCTCCTCATCCCTCAGTCTCCGCCTGTCCCTTCCGTCCCCCACCTTGTCCGAGGCTATGACGCGTTCTTACCTCCATCTCCTCCCGCCCCTTGCTTCTCATTCCGTCCCCTTCCTGCCCCCGTCGTCATTCTCCTTCGTGCCACACTCCTCCTCCTTCTCCTCCTTCCGTAGCCATTTTGGCTCAAGGCTCAATGCTGTGGTGGGCCGAGCCCACTGGCGTTGCACGGATACCGCTGTCACCGCGGCCAGATTTCGATGGGACCGCGCAGCCCCGCGCCCGCGCGCGTGCCCGTCCATGCTTGATGGGCCCAAGCGGAAGAAGAAGGGTCGTACCGTACGTGCTGTTGATGACGCTGGTGCACGTGATGGCGCTCCTGCTCGGCCCCCACCAGAAGAAGACGACGCTCGTTCTCGTTCCAATCGGGGCGCCTCCAGCGACGACGGTAGCGACCACATGGACTCGGAGGGTTGGGGCGTGTATATCAAAGGATTTGTCCATGGAGAGCGTCAAGCTCAGTTCCACACCTTCCAGTCAGAGGTCACTGAGCTTGCCACCGCCTCCGCCAGCAAAGCTGCCATCTCTGCCGTCGACCCCGTCATGGCCGCCATACGTGGAGTGGAAGCAGCAGTGCAGCAAATACCACAGACGTGTAGGACTCAATTGGGGGCGCAGCTCAGGCCCGAACTCGAGGCGATGCAGCGGAGGCTTCAAGAGCAGACCGACTCCCTCCAAGCGCAGGTGCAGGACATCGGTGGACGGGCTGAGAACTTGGCCAGCGAGATGGAGCAGATGCGTGGCATGGTGGGCGAGTTTCGACGCGAACTTCTGGTGGCCAACCGTCAACCCCCACCACCCAAGCCAGTTGCTGGATTCGCTCGTGAAGTCGATGGAACCATTCCCAAGGTGGTGGCACCTACTCTCGTCAAAAGAGTGACGTCCGGGGCTCCGTCGACAAGTGGCTTAAGGACGCCAAGCTCGACGGCTATTCGATCAGCGGCGACGACCAGGACAAGTTGTTCACGATCCAGGTCAACGGCGCGGTCGGCATTGCGGGGAAGAAGGTGCTCGCGGTTCTCGCGGCATTGCTGCTCCCAGGAAAAAAAGACAGCGGCTGCGCTTCCCTCTACCTGCTGCCAGTGGCGGCAGCACCCAGCTCCACATCGGCCCCGACAAGAACCCGCACCATATCAAGATGGAGATCGTTGGGAAGAAGATGGCCCCAGCCCTCAGGGGGCACTACACGGACTCCAAGTTTTTCTTCGATCTGCAAAATGGGTGGGTACCGGAGAATTGGATTCCCATCGTTCGCGTCGAGCCTCAACCTGGGCGCGAGCCCACCAGTATGTATTGCACGACGCGGCATTATCGGCAAGACAATGGACACGGGCTGATCTCCGACGGCTACTTGAACCGATTGCAGCACCGACGGCAGCCCCCGAGTGGTCGTTTTAGCATGTTCGACGACATCTTCGTTCGCAGCGCGCTTGGGAATATTAGCCCCGGACGGCCGAGCTGACGTTCACGACGTGGAATGCTAGGGCGTTACATCGGTGGCGTGGTCAGCAGGCAATGGCGAAAGCGATGCACATGCAACGCGCAGGAGTCACGCACTCCATCTTCGCGCCCCAAGAAGTACACCCATATTTGGAATAACTGCAGCTTCATGCAGCGCGTGGCGCCTGGCTCTGCGGCTGTTGGTTCTTTTGACCTGGACTCGCATGGGCATGCTCGTGGGGGAGTGGCTACGGTGATTCCATTGTCGCCAGCGTCTGCTGCATATTCTCAGTCTCTTCCGTTGGTTCGCGGGCGCGCGCTTGCAACTTGGATGGCGGTTGCTAGCTCCGAGATTTGGCGCCGCAATATTCGCAACCATGCTATTGCGAAAGACGATGTACGAAGGAGTTCGGCTGCAGTATTGGAGGGTCTCTCTTGGGCTCAGGAAGACCCTCGCGTGTGTCTGGTCGTAGTCTGTGGGGATTTCAACTTCGCGGCCACGGGTCCAATTCGTCTGGCTCAACCTGCTCAGCGTCGTCAGGCCAAGCTACAAACAACAACAGGACGCACGTGAAGCTATGGATGCAAGCCTTGGACAGCATGCTGGAAGTAGCGGCTGCAGATCCTAGTCATCACTGTCAGGATTCGCGCTCTTTGGCACAGATCGACCGCATGTGGTTCTCCGAACTAGGGTGGATGGCCTGCCAGCTACATCGCAACGCATCCGTGGTCTCTTCCCCCGAAACACTCCATGCCCAGGAGGTTTCGGAACACGCTGCACTTAGGGTTCAACTTCAGCCTCGGTCTCTAGGTGATCAATATCGCCGGCCTGTGCCTCGGCGTCAGCGCGCGGAGCTTAAGGAGCGCGTAGACAGGCTTATTCTGCAAGATGGCAAGTCCTTGGCGGACATGCCCCCTGCTCGGCAGCTCGAGCGCTACAAGACCCTGGTGGATGCTGCCGCGTACGATACATTACAGAAGGTACTTGTGGACGATGACGCGAGCTTGGAGGCGCAGCAGATTTCGCCAGACAAGCAGCGCGCGCGATATGGCGACAATATCCTAGGCTTGCTCTAATGGTTGCGAACTCGTCAGAGGTGTTCAGGAGTTGCGTTGATATCACTGCCGGTGGTTCGGTCCGCCTTTTTTCAGACATCCGCTTTCCAAGCTTGGGCGGGAACTATCCATCATCGCGCAGCTGAGCTTAAATGCGCACAGCTTCAGCATAGCGCATTGCACGACAAAGGGCGCGCGAAGGCCTCTCAAGGGACATTGTCGGCAGCGCGAAGGAAAGCCTAACTTTGGGTGCCCTATTGGCAAGAGGCTAACCTTACGAGCAGTGCAAGTAGGGGAGGGTCTTCTGTCAGACCCTGCTGATCAGTTGGAAGCCAAGGTCAACTACTGGGCACCAATTTCAGCACCACCACCACCATCACTTCCTGCACATGCCGCAGCGTGCGCCAAGCGCTTCGTTCAGCCGTGCCTTTGATGGATTGCAGCCACCTTTCTTACTGATGTTACAACGTGCTCTTCGGCGGATGGCTCCTTCGAGATCGGCGCCTGGAGTTGATGGTCCACCGTGCTCAGCCTGGGCTGCCCATGAGCACGGAGCGGTTGTTCTTTGGCACGCCTGTCGCTGGATAGTGGACGGCCGAGCGTTGTTCCCCCCGGCCGGCGCCACGCCTCAAGCATTTCTACCGAAAGGCTCTCGTGTTGGCGACGATCATGAGCGCGGTGTTGCGCGGTCTCCTGATGCAGCGCGGACTCTTGGGCTTCGCAGCACGGGCGCGAAGGTTATTTCGGCGACCCTCAACATTGCCTTCTCTGCGATTGTGCGAAAAACTATTTATTTCCTCGGCGCAAAGGGGATTCATTGCTGGTCGCCAGTTGACGTCCAACACCCCGGAGCTTGATGCGATGGCTCGCAGTGCGTCTATGCAGCCCCAGGTGGAGAGCAAGCAGCCCATGGGTCGCGCTAGGCCTTTCCAAGTCTTAACCAGCAGCACCTCTTCACGACCCTCACCTCCATGCAGCTGCCGTCGGCCTTTCTCGCGGCGCGCCGCTTGCTGCGCGCCTCGATTACCGCGGTTGGGCGCATCGCGGGGATCACCAAAGACTTGTTCTGCATCCTGTGTGGGATTATGCAGGGGTGTGCTTTGTCTGGCAGCTTATTCGCTGCAGCGACGTCGCCGTTTCTTGAAGATCTCCGATTGAATCTTGAGGTTCGGCACCGTGTTATCTTTCGGGCATGTGCCGACGATATCGGTGGGGTACTCTTCGATCGCCTTGACCTTCGCTTCCTAGCGCGTGTCATGAGGGTCGCTGAGAAGATTGCGAACTTGAAGTTCAAACCACCGAAGTGAGTGATCGTCCCGCTCGCGTCGGCTGTCAACCCTGAGATCGTCGCCAGTTTGAGGCAGCGTTTGGCGACCATCGTCCCCGAATGGATCGATCGCCTTTCGGATCGAGGCCACGCTGCTTGATTTTAGCATGTGGATTGGTCCAGCGACGTCAGGGGTTTGTTCTGGGCTAGCACCTTGGGACAAGTGTCGGGCGCGGGTGGCTGCACTGGCCTGATCTGCCGCTCCAGCCTCTCTTAATGCTATCAATTACTTGGCCCGTGCCCTGCCGACGATGAGGTCCATTGCGCAGTTCCAGCCCCCTCCCAAGCAGTTACTCCAGCAGGATATTCGTGTGCTTGTTCGCCTTCTTCGGCTACCTGGTGGCGCCTTAAGATGCATCGACTTCCTTTGCTTGGGACAATGGGGAGGACCCAAACTTCGGGCTCTTGGCCCCTCTTGCGAGGCGACGCTGATACGGTCTGGGCTCTCCACTCATCCTGAACATGCTGGTGATATCGCTCGCCTTCGTCGGGCGGCTGAGCGTCGGGCGCCTCGCCGCGTCCTGGCTGATCTGCGTGGCCAGCTCTCTCTTGGTTTTTGGGTGCTGCCCTCGTTTGCCGAACAGATAGCGGCTGCGTCGACAAGCAACACCTCTGCGGGAGCACTTGTTGCTCGTCGCCTTATCCAGGAACGCCCAGCGGCGCGGCACTTGGTTCAGATGACAGCAGGTCCGGCAGCCATTCTTGTCTAATGCCAATGGGAACGACTCACCGCTGATTGACGCAATTATCAAGCGCAAGACGAAGTGGTTCTCGCTAGAAGCTGTAGAGCTCGCCGACATCGATTGGAGCGTTCTGAAAGATAAGCTGCTGGCTTATCCTACGGCATGTGCATCTTCATCACTTCGGGGGTTTTGCGGTGGCTGGCTTACGACAGCTCGTATTTCCTCGCCGACTGGCGTCCGCCCTTGTATCTTCGGCTGTGAAGGTTGCCTCGACGAGATCGATCATTACTGAGAATGCCGTGGACTGGCTTGGGGTATCGCCATGGCGAAGTCGGGAGGACGCACCCTCTTACCTGGGGATGTCTG